TAAGAATGATGTTGTTACAGCAGGAGGAGGAGTTGGAGGAGTAGTGGTGCGTACTAGTGTTGTAGTCGTCGTCGCCGTAAGCGTCGTCGTCGTCGTCGTCGTCGTCGTCGTCGTCGTCGTCGTCGTCATCGTTGTCGTTGCTGTTTCTGTTGACGCTGTTGCTGTTATTGCTGTTATGGCTGTGTTGTTGTTGTTGTTGTTGTTGTTGTTGTTCAGTCGCAGACGTTTCGGATCAGCCTAGCAGCTTGACCCAAACGCAAACCTCAAACTTGGCACCAAACCCCCTGTAGCACTGTAGCATTGATGTGCCAGGAAGGTGCGGGTGTCTGGTGAGGGCCTTGCTGCAGGACAGGCTTTGTCGAGTGGTAAGCCAGCGTCCGGTCGTTAGGGCCGAACAACTGCAGGCTTGCCGGCTCACCAAGCTCGTTTTCGGCCAGTTTGGGACATCACGTAGACCACACGAGTCACAAGTGACAAGTCCGTGGGAGGAAATTCAATCGAGCACCTGTCTTATGTGATTGTCGATGCGGAAGGACCATGCAAGTACAACCCCACCTTGCTGGATGTGGCACAAGTGCACTTCGGCAGCCATTCATTTCAGGACATGCTGTCGCGCGGCAGGTTAGTCCCAGCAGCGAGAAGCCGAGCACTGCAAGAGCATGACTCTGTGTGTGACCCGAAAGGATCGAAATTAGGAGCCGGAGCTCGATCAAAACTGTGGGAGAGGCTTCGATTCTAAGAACCCCCGATACGGGTGTCTTTTCTTCGTAGTCGTAGTGTTTTTTGCGGAATTTGTTATTCAGCTGTGTCCATTGTTTGGTGAACTGTGTCGGTTGCTGTAGCACCCTCCCACTACAGCAAACCCCAAGGCCCAGGACCCTCATTTTTAGGCCCCTCGAGGCCCCAAGCCCCAAGCGAAAAAGATGCGGTAAGCTTTAAACTGGCCCTAAACATAAACCCTCGAGACTAGAAGCAGTCAGCTGACAAAAGACAACCGCCGTCAACCCCAAAATAACGACCCCCCTAAGTGCTCAACAGTCGCTGAACAAAAGGACAGGCCGATCCCCGATAACCCGATTAAAACCCGACAGCTCGAGACGTACTCGCTCTCTCTCTATATATATGTAATATCATAGCGCACTTTCACGTACAACAGTGTAATTTACGATACTGTAATATGCTTTAGTATACTTTCAAATAACTTACCGTAAAACATAATACTGTTTTATCCCTTTGAGCCGAGGCGTTGCCCCGAGCAGTTAGTCTCGCTGACGCAAATGCAGCGCTCGGATGAGCCGGGAGGATCCCTGAATGGAATGTTACGGAGGGGTGTTCGTCTCCGTTTTCTTCTGGTGGCCCCTGTGACTATCAGTGAGTCAGGGTGCTTGATTTGTGTTTTTTTGGCTTGGGATTTTTTGTGCTCACGATTCGGAGGTTCCAGGACGTTAGATGTAGCTATTGCGAGCGCTGCAAACCGGCCATGGCTGTAGGGTGTTTTGTGTTGCTTTTCTCGATGACATGAACAGCTGGAGTTTTGTCGTCTGGCTTCCGGGTCGCACAGTCATAGTCATACCATCGAGCTCCTTCTTTTCAGTCTCGTTAATCCCGAATCCTCGCCGAAGGCTTTGGCTTCGCCGCGGCTTCGCGTGCTTCTGGATTTCCCAATGCTGGAGGCTGGCTCGCCATCGGCATAGGGGGCTTACATGCGTTGATCAATTGTGCAATCAGGGGTCTCCTCATGGGGACTGCAGGGTGTTGAGAAACCGTGATGTCAGCCACACTTCGCTGCTTTCTGGCTGCTCGGACGTCTGGAAAGCAAGGTGCCTACTGGCCCCAAACCATGACCCCAAACCCTATCCCCGTAGCACTAGAAGCTGCTAGCGTGACCAGACCTAGGCACCAATCGCTGCCGCTCCGAGGCCAGTACCGTTCATGGCTGGGGTTTGTGGCTCTGGGCCTGGTCTGGGCAAAAGTAGTCTGCTAGTCATGCCAGGCCACTGCTCCAGCCCGGTAGCCGGAAAAGCCCCCGCGAAGCCGTCGTAGCAACGCCAACCCGTTGGCTAGAGTGTCTGTCCCCGCTGGATCTCACGACAAGGACTGGGGTGCAGGGCTCGCATACTGCCTGACACGGATGATGGACTGCCTCTGTGCGCAAACAGATGTCAATCCTGAGTTGCACATGGGAAATGATTGTTGAAGTCTCGGATGTCGGGGAGTCTTTGAATCTGGGCTTGGTAGCGAGAGATTGCACACGTATGCAGAATTTGTCATAATTAGTTCCTTCTGTACCCTCATCCGTGGGGTTCGCTTCAGGCATGACTCTTGCCTTGGGCCTTAGGCGAGGCAGGCAATGCCAGGCAAACTTCCGGCGAGGTTTTCCGTGAACTCCCGTCCTCCGGCGGAGCAGTCCGTGCTCCGAGTTCACAGGGATCAGCGAACATCTCCAAACCGCTTCCAGCTGCCGAGCCCAGGTAGAAAGCCGTCGGGTGCCTTCATGACCAATGTTCAGGCGG